GGGCCAAGCTTTTTGTATTGCTGGTCAGTTAGTGGTCAGAAAGTACTCGCTGGGAGCTGAATTTGGGTGGAGACTTTAAAAAAAAAAGGAGGGGGATTTTAGGGCTCCCACTGTGAATTAGTCCTCCCAAACCCAGTTCCGTTCTCTTGTGTATAGGGTCACCAGGGGTCAGAGCCAACTCAGTGGCACCTAACAACAACAACATGCCACGTGTTAGTAGTAAGGGTCACTGGCAGGCTCAGTGGGGACTTCTTCCAGGATTCAAGGCAAAGGCCTGGTCCTTCCTCCTGCTTGTGGTGGAGGACGCTGTGCCAAGGGAGGAGAGCCAGTCTACATCATCTGGGGCTCTCTGTGGAGTGACCAGAGCCCCTGACCATTCCTTCTCGGCACTTAGTGCTAGTGAGTGATGCTAGAAATATTCCGACAGAACTTCTTCAGGTTTTAAATTGCTCTTGATGTCAGATTTTGCATCTATTAATTAACATTTATTCGAGTAACCTATTTGGTAGCCAATTTATGTTTGTGGTTGGTTTAAATTTTTTGGTAAGTAGATAGTCACAGTTTATATAAAAAAGAAGCCTTTCTTAAAAAGATTATTTTGTATAGAGGAAATTTTCCATTGAAGATAGAAATAATGCCATTTGACATACTAGCTTTGGTGAAGGTGTAGTGTCCCTTTGGAGACAAGTGACAGTAAAGCCAGTTGGATGATTAAACTTGTTCTGATGCCGTACAGAGATTGTTTGCATGGAAGTAACTGACAAGCAAGAATTTTCTAAGTGCTTTTTGAAGTGACTAGTTCAGATGCAATACTGATTCTTTTCTACCAAGGTAGTTGTGATTTGGGGTTTTGTGTTACTTAATTTATGTTATATAGTGAGTAGAATAGAAGGTCTTTTCTGAATCTGTATGGTGTTTTCTAGACCATCTCAAAATTTGAGGGTAAAGTTTTGGAAGCATTTTCTGAAAATATAGGCGGAACCGTGAATAAAAACTTAAAATGTGTGTGTGAATGTCGCCACCAAGTGGCAGAGAAAAGCATTGCCATTGGCTATGGAGAAGATGTGCAAATTATAAAAGGCGACACTGATTAATAGTCTTTCCTCTCATAGAAGATGTTGACCTCTGCCAGCTGGTCATTCCTTTATCAAGCTTCCTCTAGAGTATGTGTGTTGAAACAGTGCTGTCTTAAAATTCAGTTTTCAATGAGTATTTTAAGCCTAAAGCAAAACAAAATCATTCATATTGACCAGTTCTCCAAATTTAAAAAAAAAAAAATCAAAGGTGGATTTTATTTTTTTCCTGTTAATTAAGTGCCCACCTATCCTTACTCCCTTAGTTTTCTATCTTTTGTCTGTATTGTTGCCTTTCTGCTTGTATGTGTTATCTTCTGTTTGTGCTAACTGCTTAAACATGTGGAAATGAAACTGTGACTCATGAGGTGTTTAAAGAAAGCGCATCATCACATTATAGAAGTAACCTCACTATTTAGGTGATGCTCGATGGGCAGTTAGTCACTTGCATCAGAATGTAAGTGATTATGGTTGTGGTGCTGGATTTCCGGCATTTGTTCCGTGTCTGAAAAGCACTTTAGACAGGATGAGGAGAAAGCTGTTGTCACCACACTGACTGCTTGGTCTCTCATTTAAATGAATAATTTCCCTGTTTTACTTTTTAAACACAATATTTACCACCAGAGAACAGAAGGAACGCATTATTTGACCCATTCACCTCTTTGTCCACTTCTTCAATTAAAATCTAAATTCCACGAGAGACAGAGAGAGTATGTGAACTTACTTTTATTTAGCCCACGGGGCAAACTACACTATTTTAAAAAGTTATTTTATTGGGGGCTCGTACAATTCTTATTACAGTCCATACATACATCCATGTGCCAAGCACATATGTACATTCGCTGCCCTCATCATTCTCAAAACATTTGCCTTCTACTCTAGCCCCTGATATCAGCTGACCTACACTTTTCTTAATAGCAGCAAGTAAGTGTCTCAGAATCTTTACAAATGAAATGTTAAAACAGATGGTAAGATTTTATTTGACTCCAAGATACCCTTCCGTGAATGAATGGGTAAACCAACTGGAATGCCATTCTGCGACGAAAACAAAAGGGTTGGCCAGCCTCCCAGAGCCCCCACAGAACTTGGGATGACATTGTACAGTGAAAAGCCAGTCCACTAGGCTGCCACAATTGATGATTCCAGGTATATGGTATCTGGAAAAGGCGAAACTGTGGAGATGGGGCAGAAAAAAATACAAGGGTGCTAGGGTTTGGTGGTGGAGGGTGTGAATAATGGAGCATGGGTCATTTGGGGGCCAGAGGAGCGTTACTGTTTCAGTTGGCAATCACCATTAGCATTTGTCAGAACCCCTAGTACTATTCAGTGCTCTGAGCACTAATGCCAACCATGGGCTTCAGATAGTAACAACATGGTCCATCAGTTGTAAGAAATGTACCACAGACTCCCAAGATGTAACTAGGAGAAAGAGTTAGAGGGTGCGGTGGTATTGGATTAATGCCACAAGAGAAGCATGAATAGCACGTGAGAATTAAATTAGAAAGAATATTGATAACAGCTGACACATAACCAGCTTCTCAGTGTGCTAAGTACATTACACAGGCCAATTCATTTAAGCCTGGTCTTGGCTTTCTAGGACTGCCATAGCCAAACCACCACACACTGAGTGACTGTGAAGAACAGTTATTTACTGCTTTAGCTCAGGGGGCTATAAGTCTAAATTCAGAATGTAGGCCCGCCAAAGCTCACAGCTCCAGGGGAGATCCTTCTGGGTCTCTGCCAGCCTTTGAGGCGGTCCAGGTATTTCCTTTGTGGTAGACAGGTCTTTTGTGATTGTGTTTTGTGTTTGTCTTTGTCATGAGGGTGAGGACCCTCCCTACTCCAGTCTGATTTTATGTTCACCTAAATAACACCTATCAAAAAAGGTCATATTTAATGGCGCAGGACATTTTTTTTCAGGGTGGAACAGGGCAGTAGGCACAATTGAAGTCAACAACAAACATCAAACAACAGTTTATGAGAATTCTTGTTCATATTTTACAAGTGAGGCAAATAGCAATACGGTTTTGCTGTGTGTGTGTGTGTTTGTGTCTGTGTGCAAAACCATCATTAAAATGTCCAAAGGACAGGAGCTTTTATCTGAGCTGTTTATATTTCACTGTATGTTCCTTGGTACAAATTTGTTGGTAGGTGCCAGCAATTCAGTTCTAACTCATAGTGAACAAACAAGCAGAGCTACACACAACAGAACAAAACACTTCCTGGGCCTGTGTCACCCTCACAATTCATACGTTGAAGTCCGTTGTTGGAGCCACTGTGCCAGTCCATCTTCTGAGGGGTTTCCTCTTTTTCTCACTGACCTGTCACCAGATTTGGATGTTCTTCTCCAAGAACTGGTCTCTCCTGATACCATGTCTGACGTGTGTAAGAAATCTTGCCATCCTCCTCTGTGGATTATTTGGACTGTATTTCTTCCAAGACGGATTTGTTTATTCTTTTGGAGGTTGATAGTGTAGTCAGTATTCAAATGCATCATTCTTCTTTCTTCCATATTCTTTGTCCACTTAACCGTATTTTTTCACATGCATGTGAGGCAGCTGAAAATACCATGACGAGAGTTAGGCAAGTGGTAGCCCTCAAAGGAACACCTGGGACTTTGGAATACTTTCAAAAGGTCTTTTGCAGCATATTTACCTTGTGTAACAAATAGGTAATTTGTTCTTGACTTCCGTGAGCAGTGGTTATGAATCCAAGCAAAATATAACTGTGGCAACTTCAGCCTTTTCTCCCTTTGTTAAGGTGGTGGTTTTTGTTTCAGTTGGTCAGTTTTGTCTTCTTACGTTGAGGTCTAATCCATAGTGAAGACTGCTCTTCAGCAGGAAGTGCTCGAGAACTCTCAGCTTTCAGTAAGCAAGGTGTGTCTTCTGCATGGAGTCTCGCTTCTTAGATTATTGAGCACGAAAATGGAAAAATGCAGTCTTACCCTTGGGGAGACATGGCATAAATATTAAAATATGTAACAGCATCATGTATAACTGAGCACAAAATAAATCATACCCTGTAAAAGGACTGATAGTCTGAACCATGTAAAATAATGGGGCTTGGGCTAGCCTTTAAATTAGAGGGGTTTTCACCCGATGGGATTGGACAACAACTGTATGTGAATGGATACATTGGAATGAGTAAGATATGTCGATATGAAATATATAAAAAAAATTTAATTATAGGGGTTTTGGTGGCAGTGGTGGTTTTTGGGTTTGTTTTTCTTTGAATTGCTCAAGAGCAGATTATAAGGAGGTCATTCTATATGGGAAGGATTTGTTGGGGTGGTTGTGGGCACCTTGCTAAGCAACCTTGTGGGTAGAGTAGCCTATGAGTTGAAAGAATAGTTTATTGTTCTTTCAGCCCAAAATATTTCTCAATCATCTCCAGTGTACCAGGTGTTTGGAATATCAGATCAGTAGTGCTTTTTACGTTTTCATTTACTTAGTTTCATGAGTATTTTGAAAGCTTCTACTTGGGCATTGCTCTAATGCTAATTTCTAGGTTAACTACAGAATCAAGTTAATACACTAGCCAACACAGTAATGCCATTGTTAACAAATACATCCTTTGAGTCAGCTCTAATTAATCATTGCAGATTCTGTGGTAGTGTAGTATGTTTTTCAGCAAGGTAGAGTATATGGAATTTGGTGAACCCCAATAGTAAACACACTGAATAAGTGAACACTTAACAAGATGCCCCCCTACTCTTAAAAGGTTTCTAGTCTAGGTGAGTGCACAACTCATTGTTCACCTGAACAAATGCCATGTAGTCTTCTTAGAAGACTTGCCTTTTCTGCTCTGGATAAAGATATTTGCATCACAAAAGGCTTCACCCACAGTTTTCTTTGGGAGCTAGCTTGTGTGCATATCAATATGGTTAATGCTCCCTTGAATCTAATCGCATTGCTTTTACATCTTTAGGTTTTTTTGCCCTCCTCCTTGTGTGTACCTTATGGGCAGTGGATGGAAGAAAAAAAAAGAACAAATGGAACGCGATGGTTGTTCGGAACAAGAGTCTCAGCCGTGTGCATTTATTGGAATAGGAAATAGTGACCAAGAAATGCAGCAGCTGAACTTGGAAGGAAAGGTAAATCAAGATCATGCTGGTACTTCCTTTTACAAGCTCAATGGACCCAGTATGCCGTTTCCATGTTTGTTTTTATGGTGATTTTTAAAATATATATTAATAAGAGTTAAATATATAAAGCAGAACCAGAAATATACCTCTCAAATTGCCATTGATGTTTAGATTCATGCACCTCAGGCTATTTATTCTAATGGTGGCTTGCTGTGAGTTTCCTCAGTTTGCTACACATGTTAGCAGGCTGAGACTCTGAGGTCCTATTTGAAGCCAATCGTAAATTTGAGAGAGATAAAGTACTCATTTCTGCCTGGCCTGGCAGAAGAATGACACTCACATTTTTATGAAATACACACTTCACCAATGTTTTTACTCAACTCCCTTAGTCCTTTTTTTTTTAAACCTTCTAGTTGTTTCCAACTCATACCCTATCTGTAGTGCCCCTGTGAATTTGTGAGGCTGCATGAGTTTACGGCATAGACAGTCTTACCTTTCTCCTGAGGAGCAGCTGCTGGTTTCGAGCTTAACACTTTTCAGGTTGCGGACCACACCAGGACTACTAGAGGCAAGTTCTTAGAAGCATTTACCCGGGCAAATGATCCTACGCTAATGATCATCACTCTTTCCTCTAGCTCCAGAGTAGAGCAGAAATCTGCTTTCGACAAGAACAGCCATGCCCAGATTTTCTCGTCCATTGCGGTTTTTCTTTGATATCATTAATGTTTTAAAGAATGCTTTTTCATTAACTTAGAATTTATTCTTGTTTCCCCCGATAGTAAAATTTGAAAACTAGTTAGCTCAGATCTAAATGACTACGGGAATGTTTTTAAAAATAAAAGTCATTTCACCCTTCAGTACATCTGTGCGTTATTAACTTAGTGTGTGGTGTTGAACTTGGCCCCAGAGATGGGGTCGGGAGGGTTTGCTCCTGGGGATTGGTTCTATAAATCTGAATTGAGTCATTTTACAGATACCATGTGAGTAAGAAACCATAATATGAACCTCCTTGGAATAGAATCTTTAAAAAAAATCATTTTATTGGGAGCTCTTACAGATATCAGAACATTTCCATAGTTCAGTCACATCAAGCAGTGTTGTGCAAATTGCTATCAGTTTCAAGACATTTTCTTTCTTTTTGAACTCTCTGATATCGGCTCCCCGTTATCGTCCTCAACCATTTATCCAGTTGTGTATTTATGCATCCATGCATGCATGCCACACCTCACACCATCTATTATATCCATTTACGAATAATTCTGTTTGTAGTTTGCTACCCCTCTAGTGGAGTTCCACGGGCATCAGTGTTATCAGCTGCTCACCTCCCATTCCCTCAGGGAACCATTAGTCCTGTTACTCAGATCTTAATTATACAAATGAACATGCAAGTCTAACATGATTAATGAGGTAAAACAAATAAAACCCATAAAGGTAAGGGGAGGAAATATTAAAGAACTAGAGGGTAGTTATGTGCTTCATCGGTGTTATAACACACCCTGGATTTGTTATCCCTTCCGGGTGGCCCTTCTGAGAGGAACTGTCCAGTTAACTTGCAGGTTGGTTTTGGGTCTCCACTACATTCCCACCCCACCCCTTCACATCGATTTGGTTGCTTGACTTCTTGAACTTCTGATACCTTTTCCCATCCACACCTCATGATCACACAGGCTGGCGTGCTTCTTCCACGTGGGCTTTGTTGGTTCCCTACTAGATGGCCGCTCGTTTGACTACATACTTTTACGGCCTCAGACACTAGATCTTTTAATAGTCGGGCACCATCAGCTTCTTCACTATATTTGCTTATACGCCCGTTTTGGCTTCAGTGATTGTGTCAGAAAGGTGAGTATCACACAATGTCACATTATTAGAGCAAACCATTCTTGTACTGAGGTAAGATTTAAGTAGAGGCCCAAAGTCCATCTGCTTCCTTGTTGCATTTGCATTTATATACATACATAAACAAACACCTGTATTTAAATAAATTATATATTTACACATATATGTATACCTGTATAGATATTTTTTTCTTTGCTCCTTTTCCTTTTTCTTTCCTCCTGCCCCACTGTCATGTTTACTCATTGTTCACTTCTATAATTCTTCTGAGATACAATTCTATTGATGAAACACTACCAGGAAAACTAGAGAGTTTGCTGGATGTTCGCCTAGCGGGGGAAAATGCATACTACAAAAGCTCTGCTCCACCCAGTGCAGTTCCACTTTTGAGGGGTATGCCCTTGTACGTTAGGAAATAATTTGCCTACTTGTGTTTTGTTAATAGTACATTATTACAACCTCCAGAACTCTCTTGCTTGAGCATCATTTTATTTTTTTAATACAATGTTTTGGCAGCATTGGATCTCCCATTTTTTCCTCATTTTCAATGCAATTTCCATTGTCCTAGATCAAGTCTTTGAAGAGTTATTTTAAGTTAAACTTTTCAAAACTGATTTATGAGATTACGTGCAGTTTTAAAATTCCTGAAGCGAATGTGGCCTGTATTAGTGAACGAGTGTTAATTTTAGTATCCATTTTTTTTTAAAGCTTTAGTACGTTGAATGACTCAGTAACAATTCCCCATTTCTGTGCACTTCAAGTAGTTTGCATTCATTTCCCCTTATTATAAACAAAACAAACTCCCTGCCATCTAGTTGAGTGAACTAGATGCGTTGACGGCATGGTAGAGCTGGGCTCTGAGGCTGTGCATCCACACAGAGTAGACTGGCTGAGGTTTCCCACTGCCGACTTTGTACTTGGCAGTCCAGTAGTTCTAGCTTACTTTTGCCTTTTGCAACAGCAAAGAAAGCTTTTACATTTTTTATTACAAAAATGTAATTGGATGTAAAACATTCAGCCCGGCATATATTTAAAAATATATAACTTATTGAGAAATGACGTAAACTACATTGTTCCTGTTTAACTAAGAAGGCAGTAGCTACTTCTTAAATGACAGTGTCCTTTGCTCTGCTTTTTATTAGTTTATTTTTAACTATTGTGTGTCTGTGTGTTTTGAGCATTTTCACAGTAAGTTTAGTTCCTATTTCCAGTACTCCAGGCTCCTTGCTCCCTTATCTCCTCATGTACTTTTGTGTAATTGCTGACTGTTGGGTCTCATACTGATGGTTTCTTAGTGGAGCACCGTCTTATGAGTAATAGCTTTCACGTTGTCTGCCATGCTGTTTTACGAAAAGGTAGTCTCAGGATGAGCCTGTCTAGACTTAAAGTGTGCCTCAGAAAGAGAGAAGACATTTAGAATTCCCCCACAGTGTCTCCCATTTATCTGAGACGATATTACTGAGATACAGTCAGAAGGGTTGGTTGTGGTAGCCAGGTCCCATCTCATTTTCCATCTCATTTTCTTCTGAGGCATGATTTTCTTCTTTTGAGTTTTGGTTACCTTCTTAGGGTTATATACCGTATATACTCGAGTATAAGCCGACCCGAATATCAGCCAAGGCATCCAATTTTACCACAAAAACTGCATTAAAAATGTGCTGGAAAACTCTGCTTATACACGAGTATATACCGTAACACTCCTGCTGAGTGGAGACCCATAGCTGTATCTTAGCTGGCCATTGTGCGCTTTTAAGACATGAGACATTTTTCACCTCATTAGGATGCAGTTTGTACTTTTTATGATGTATGTTATCCCAGCTGACTGAGTTATATGCCCTAAGACTATAATCCTAAGTGTTCAAAACCAGGAAACCAACCTTGGAAGGGATTCAGTTATGCCTGCGGGGTATCCTTAGTTGTATTTTGAGTGAACAGGTATGCCTGCATTTATGTGTTTGTGTTTACATAAACCTTATACCTGTAGAAGGAGTCCTAGTGGCTCTGTGTACTAAGTGTTGAGCTGCTAATAGCAAGGTCAACAGTTTTAAGACTGCCACTTTCTCCTTCATGGGAGGACGATGAGACTGTCCACTCCCATAAAGATTTAGTCTGTGACCGTGAGTGAATGAACTTGATGACCGTGAGTTTGGTGTTCTCAGCTGTGTACTCGACTATACCTCTTCATCTACTGATATGCCTACACCTATCTCTGTGCCCTCAAGCATTCGTTTTTACTTTGTGCTCATTACCAGAAGCCCTGATGGCATAGTGGGTTACCAGTTCAGCTGTTAACCACAAGGTTAGCTGTTCAAATTGACCAGCTGCTCCCTAGAAGAAAAATGAGGTTTTCTGCTTCTGGAAGTATTTCCAGTGTCAGAAACCCACAGGAGGGCTGTTCTGCGTTGTTCCTATTGTCAGTGTGAGTTAGAATCTGATTTTGATTTTGGTGCTCACACTACATCCATATTCAGTGTCACTTTTTCCATCACCAGTAAGGATGGTGCATGGATGGGTAGATGAATAGATAAAATCCAAATAAGTCTCAGTGCCCCCCTTCTTTATAAACTTCAGTGAACATTGTTTTATTATATTACATATATTCTTATTTATAAAAGCGGATCATATTTATCTTTATATATTTAACTTCACTTTACCTTCTAGTACACTTCTGTCTCACACTCCATCCCTTTTTCGTTTGTCATGAAAGCTCTCAGATGCACACGAGGGAGGAAGTATTTTAACTACCACCCAATCTCACAACATGTTTTACCAATTGTGTTCATTAGCTCTATCACCACTACCACTTCCTCCAATTACTGAAATATTTTAATGTGAACCTGGGGGTTAAACGACCCTTTCACAGGGGTCGCTCAATTCGTAACAGTAGCAAAACTACAATTATGAAGTAGCAACGAAAATAATTCTTTGGTTGGGGGTCACCACTATATGAGGAACTGTATTAAAGGGTCGCGGCATTAGGAAGGTTGAGAACCACTGCTCTATAAACTAGATCCATCCATATTAATGTTTCATGAGCTCATCAGTGTCCTTTATTGCTGAATGTTAGTCATTGTATGTTTGCACCACAATTTGCATATCCATTGATGAACACTTTGGGTGGTTTTCATGTGTATACTATAGTGAGTAAATGCAGCTGTGAACATAGGTTTGCATATGTCCATGATTGTTAGGTCTGTGGGTATATACTTGGGTGTGGGATTACTGGATTACAGGGCAGTTCTATTTCCACTTTTATTTTGTGACAGTGGCATACCATTTCCCATAGAGGCTGAGTCATTTTACAGTCCCATAAGCAATGGTTATCGGTTTTAGTCTCCCCACCTTCTCATCAAAATGTGTTATCTGTTTGTTTGGTTGGCTGTTTGGTAACATGGCATCTCGTTAGTGTGTTCATTCCCATCTCTCCCATGGCTAGTGTAGTTAATGTCCTGTGATAGGTTTGTTGGCTGTGTGGATGCCCTCTTTGGTGAAAGTTCTGCTGGTGTTCTGTGCTTGTTTTGCGATTGTGCTATTTGTCTTCCTGTTTTCTATAGACACGCAGTTTGTGTGAGTTTGGATAGACAGGGATTTGCTCATTTCATCTAGGTTTTCCGTGGTCACTTGTACTGTCCGTTTTGGGTATTTTCCTCTCGTGCTTTTCACTTTTGTCTAGCAGTGGTTTGTCTGTTTTATTGATTCTTGGAAAGAAGCAACTTGTGGTTTGGTTGACTTCTTTTTGTATTATTTTCTACTTTCTTTTTGTTTCTCTGCCCTGCTCTTTGCTGTTTTTCTTTTCTGGTAGCTTTTGTTCTTCCTTTGCTATTCAGTGTATGTTAATGATGTTGGGTTTACTTTTTAGTGTAGATGATTTTACTTTGAATTTCCCTCTGAGGAATGTTTTTTCTCTACCCTAAAGGTTTTGGTATGTTGTGTTTTCATTCAATTCTAGCAATTTTGAAATGTTGCCTTTTATTTCTTCAATGAGCCTTTTTTCCCCCTTTCAATTGTGCAATATTGACTTTCGGTGTGTGTTTCTTGTTTATTGTGTTTTCTCATTCTTAGCATTGTTGATTTCTATTTTCATACTGTTAGGGTGAGAGCTTACAGCCTTAGTACAGCCTTAAAAAGGGACGCTTTGGTCTTTCTTTTCAGATACTCAGTTTCAGTAATTTCTGTAGTAGAATTCATCAGCTGAATATTGGAATGACTGCCCAGATAAAACTTGGCCGTAACTATTCCAAATTGTACAAGTACATAACCAGCAGAGTTTGAATGCTGTTAAAATTTTCCCTTTTTTCCCCACAGAACTATTGCACAGCCAAAACATTGTACATATCTGATTCCGACAAGAGAAAGCACTTCATGTTATCTGTGAAGATGTTCTATGGCAATAGTGATGACATTGGTGTGTTCCTCAGCAAGCGGATAAAAGTTATCTCCAAACCTTCCAAAAAGAAACAGTCCTTGAAAAATGCTGACTGTATGTATATTTTTCTCTCTCCCTCCCTCTCTTTTTTGCTCCCAATTAGTGTTGTGATTTAAGAAGAAAGAAAGAACTATTTAAAGTTACTGAGATATACTTTACTAATGAATTTATGGCCCCTCATCTGAAAAATGTCACATTCAGTCATTATTTCTGCTTTATTTATTTAAATTTTACAGAAAGCGGACAGTGCCTGGTCTGTGGAAGTGTTTCTCTACCAGAGTGCTATTCCCTGGGGACATTTGGGGAAATGGGAGATTGTTTTCCCTTTTGTTGGCAAATTGACTAGAAGCGGTGCTGTTGGCATTGGGTGTCTGGGCCAGTGATGCTAGATATCCTACAAAAAACTAACTTTCTGACTCAGCAACCCAATAGGCCAGGGTGGAACTGCCCCTATGGGATTCCGAGACTAATTTTTTATAGGAGTATAAAGCCCCTTTTTCAAACTGTTGACCTTATGCTTACCAGCCCAACCAGCCACCGTGCCACCAGGGCTATAATGCCCAAGAAGGCTCTCATTTTCCAAAGAATTAATTCACCTAGAAAGTCAAAAGAACCCATTTGGGGATCACTGTTATTACATTAAATTGTGTTTGGCAGGTCATCCTGGAAACCTAAACACAGCCGTTTTTTAAAAAAAAACTATCAAAGATTATAATATGCTTATTTGTTTAATGTGTACACTTCTGTCTCACACTCCATCCTCTTTTCATTTGTCATGAAAGCTCTCAGATGCACACAAGAGGGAGGAAGTATTTTAACTACCACCCAGTCTCACAACATGTTTTACCAATTGTGTTCATTAGCTCCATCACCACTACCACTTCCTCCAATTACTGAAATATTTTAATGTGAATCTTGGGCATCTTATCATTAACCAAAATTTCTGCAATATTGATTTACCTTTTTAAAATATTTTATTTTAAAATACCCATACATTCATCCAGTGTGTCAAGCACCTTTGCACATACACCATCATCATGTTCAAAGCATTGTCTTCCCACTTGAGCCCCTGATATCAGCTCCCCTTTTCTTCCCCCTCCCTCCCTGGCCTGCCTGCCCTCCCTCACAAACCCTTGATAAATTACAGATTATTATTTCCATATCTTACATCGTCCTCTGTCGCCTCTCACCTACTTTTCCGGTATTGGTTCCCCTGGGAGGGGGTTCTAGATTGATCCTGTGATCAATTCCCCTTTTCTCCCCCCACCCTCCCCTAATCCTTCTGGGATCTCTACTCTCATTGTTGGCCGTGATGGGTTTATTTATCCTGGATTCCCTATGTTGGTGGGCTCTTATCTGTAGTAGTGTGCATGTTCTGGTCTAATCTGATTTATAAGGTAGAATTGAGGTCATGATAGTGGGGTGAAGGAAGCACCAAAGAACTAGAGGAAAGTTGTGTGTTTCATCAGTGCTATACTGTATCCTGACTGGCTCATCTCTTCTCTGTGAGGGGATGTCCAAATGTCTACAGGTGGGCTGGGTCTCCACTCCATGGCCTCTCCCACCATTTACATTGGGGATGATTTTGTTCTGAGTCTTAGATGCCTGATACCTGATCCCATCAAATCCTCATGATCACACAGGCTGGTATGCTTCTTCCATGTGGGCTTTGTTGCTTCTCAGCTAGATGGCCACTTGTTTATCTTCAGGCTTTTAACACCCCAGATGCTATCTCTTTTAATAGCTGGGCACCATCAGTTTTCTTCACCACATTTGCTTATGCACCCATTTTGTCTTCAGTGATCATGTCTGGAAGGTGAGCATCACAGAATGCCAGATTGTTAGAACAAAGTGTTCTTGTGTTGAGGGTGTATTGAGTCGAGGCCCAATGTCCATCTGCAACCTTAATTCTTAACATATATATATATCTGAGTACATAGTTCTAGTCCCCTCTCGTTATATATATACTTATATATGTACATGCCTGTATTTAGACCTCTATAAAGTCCTTTGCCTCCTGGTTCTTTCTTCTATTTCCTCTTCTACCACCATCTTGTTCAGCCTTCATTCGAGTTTAGTAATTCCTCGCGCTACATTGCCCTTGATTAAGCCCCACCAGGCATCCTATGACCTTCCTTCCATTGATTTTAGTTCACTTGTTGTTCCCTTGTCCCTGGGTTGATCCCCTCCCCCTCCCCCCAACCTTCCTCTCGCCCACCTCCCCTTCTCCTGTATCCCCCCTGGAACCATTGGTCCCATTCTTTTCATCTCAATTATTTATCCCGCTTATGACTTACCTTTTTTTTTTTTTTAATCGTAAAACCAACAAAACATATACCAATTCAACATTTTATATATGTATAATTCCTGGTAACCATTGACACACACAAGTATACTAAGAATTAGAGTCTCTGAAACTCACAAGGGCAATTCTTTCCTATCCTATAGGGTGGTCACTCTGAGTCGACACTGACTCGATGGCAGCGAATTTGGTTTTGAGCTTGGTGTAGTGGGTTTTGAATTTGGCTGTTAACCACAAAGTCACCAGTTTGAACCCACCAGTTGCTCCCTAAGAGAAAGGTGAGATGTTATGCTTCTATAAAGCCTTGGAAACCCAAAGGAGCAATTTTACTGTATAGGGTCACTGTGCATCAGAATTGACTGAAGAACATTTTGGTTTTGGAATGAAAGATCCCTGGTGGCTCTGTTGGGTAAACAGTAGTTTGTTAATTGCAAGGTCGGCAGTTCACGTCCACCGCTTACACCAAGGGAGAAAAAAGATAAGGCTGTCTGCTCTACAGGAATGAACTTGATGGCAGGCTAATGAAAGCGCCCTGGTGGTACACTAGGTGAAAGCATTGGGCTTCTAATAGCAAGTTTAGTGGTTCAAAGCCACCAGCCACCCCTCAGGAGAAAGATGAGTTTGTCTGCTTCCACTAAAGATTTATAATTTTGGAAACCCTACAAAACAATTCTACTCTGTCCTGTGGAGCCACTGTGAGTCCAAGTCAGCTTCTAGCGGTGGTTGAGGCTAATGACTGATTATATCTGTTCATTTGCTTATTCACCATTTGAATATCCTCTTTACAGAATATCTGCTTTAAAAAGCTCTTTGCCTACTTTTTGATCAAATTGTTCGTATTTTTTTTGGTCAAATTATAGAAAATATTTTACATATTTTGGATATTAGACACCTTCAACATTGACTTCTCTTCTTGAGCATAAACTCCTAACCAGGTTAACAATTGTTCTTTAATGTCATTAATATCCACACACTTTACCAAATTGCGTTTAAAATGTCTTTATAGTTGATTTTCATAGGCTTCTTGTTCAAGCTTGGCTACAAACGAGGTCCACACATTTTAATCTGTAATGATTTTCACTCCTCTCCCACCCTTCCACTTCCAACCCCCTTTCGTTGGTGTCATTTATTTGTTGAAGCAGCTGGATCATTTTTCTTGTGGGGTTGGTTCCATATTCTGGATTTGGCTCATTGCTTTCTGATGCTGTTAGTGAGCTTGTTCCGTTGGCGCTCAGGTTTGTAAACTGACTAGTTCGGAGACTTTCAGAAGTGGCTGGTTCTGTGGACAGCCACTTGCATCACAGAAGGCATACCGTATCTGGCTGTCCCATGTAGTTTGAGAACATTGAGCAGTCAACGCAACTGTTAGCTAGTACTACAGCCACAATAAAGTTTCTTATCAAATTTTACCTGACGGTTTTAATAGCTGTTAACAATGACTACTTACACCCATGATTTCATTCAGGGCTGCAAATGGTGATTTTTCTAGTTCATGAACTAGTTCATATGTGAAACAAATATTTTGAATGTATTTGTTTTTTAATGTATTCTTTTGTTTTTGTTCATACCAGACGTGTTTTAGTCCATCCAGTCATTATTACTTACTCTGTATCATGGAAAACCTCAAATACATGTCAAAGTGAACAGATTTTCATTATTAAATGAAATGTCCTGTTAATTGGACTGTACCTTCACTGGCCAAGCTTTGACTTCCAGCCAGTCTTGTTTCAGCTCCATCTAGGCCTCACCCACTTCCACTCTCCTCCCCAATTCAGTTTATGGCAAATTCTAGGCATCGCATCACCTGTCAGCATTTGTATTATCAGAAGAAGACAGGATATCCTCTCTTGGTGTTTGCTGCAATCGCACAATGCCATGACTCCATAGAAAACAGCCATCCAGGATTTCTTTGTGCCATCACATATCCAGCCAGTATTCAAAAGATGCCATTTTGTTCTCAGTTAGTGTGAATCAAAATTCTGCTTGCCAAGGACTGCCCTGGAGTCCCACTATGCCAGACATGGTCCCCGTGAGCCGAAGGCTAGCTCAAAGGAAACTAACAACAACTACAAATCAATCAATATCGCATATTTTAAAACGTTTGACAGTTCTTTTCCTGTTCATGAACTGCACTGCAGAAAACATACTGCATACCTCTCATTTTCAAATGACTGTTTGATGGCAGTGGGTTCATGGTTTGGCAGAAAATGTTTCTTTGACTTTATTTTTTCATTATCTATATTTTCTTAAGAGCCGTGGTGGTGTAGTGATTACTTGTTGAGCTGATAATCTCTTGGTCAACAGTTCAAAACCACCAGTGGCTCCTCGGGGGAAAGAAGGGGCTTTGTACTGCCGGAAAGAGTTAAACTCTTGGAAACCCACAAGGGCAGTTCTACTCTGGCCTATAGAGTCTCTATGATTCAGAATTGATTTGATGGCAGCAAATTTGTTTGTTTTTAGTATATTTTCTTGGGAAGTCAAAAAATGTAATATCAGATTCAATATGTTAAATTTTAATACAGAACAACCTGAGCTTCTTGTCTTTGCAGTGTGCATTGCATCTGGAACGAAGGTGGCTCTGTTTAATCGACTTCGCTCCCAGACCGTTAGTACCAGATACTTGCATGTGGAAGGAGGTAATTTTCATGCCAGCTCACAGCAGTGGGGAGCCTTCTACATTCATCTCTGTGAGTATACGGATGGGCATTGGATGCTTTTTCTGTGAAACTGTTAAATTCCTTTTATTGACGATGTGTTAGAGAATGTGGGTGAGGGTGGGGAGAAAGTTTTTAAAAAGGGAAGACAGTGTGCCATTTTTCTACATTGACTCACGATTATCTAAAAAAAAGATAATTTGGTCTCTTTCCCCTCAATGTAGTGGATGACGATGAATCCGAAGGAGAAGAATTTACGGTCCGAGATGGCTACATCCACTATGGACAGACAGTCAAGCTTGTGTGCTCAGTTACTGGCATGGCGCTCCCACGATTGGTATGGCTCCCTTCTGGCATTGCTGCCTGTGCAAGAATGAATTCTTACAACAGGAAAGCCACCATCAAATGGGAAAACGGGAGGAGTTTTCATTCCAAAAGTTCCTGGGAAAGATGGAATTAAAAGAGGCAGACTTTTTTCTGCACACTTTTCGAAACCCCCTCATCCTATTTTAATAATAGACTTTAATTTAAAAAGGCATTCATTATGATTACTCATAATTGACACATATCCCACCTTATTTCAGAAGTGCTTTCAGACAACCACATGACTTCCAGTTACACTCTTTCTGTTATCTCACAACGGTCTGTTTCCTTCTTGGACACGTATCTGAAAGTGTTCTTGAGAGGGCAGTGCAAATCCATCACAGTGCGCAGCTCAGGCAGACACACTTCACAGCGTCTCCACAGTGCGTGCTGCATCTCCAGAGTCCAGCGTCCACCAGCCGAGGAACCCGCCCATTAAAAATAGCACTGTGTGTACTGTATTCCCTTACTTCCTCCACGAGGGTAGATTTTTTACAAATTCGGCTATGTTGGTATTTCTTATTCTGGGGCCTAAGTCTAGGGTTTGGTTCACTAGGTAACGGGGCTTCTTAAACTTTTTCCACTCAAATTCCCTTCTGGCCCAAGAAATGTCACCCAGCATGAGCAAGCTCACGGTGCCTCCAGAGAGTTCAGTAGGTATTTGATTTTGAATTAAATTTGGGTCCTTGCGAGTTCAGAAACCTTTCACTGTTGCCAATTTTTTTGCAACTCCCGCATTCGGTTACACAACCCCAGTGAAACACAGTTTAAGAAGAGCTGGAAACTGTAAAAACAACTTTTCTGCCCACCCCCCTCCCCTTTCTAGAATAGAATATAATTAGCTCTGTTAAGAGTTCAAGGTCAGGGGCTGGAGTGCAAATCTGACCCAGGGTGAGGAGCCAGGAAGTAGTAGAGCATTTGGGGGTCACTATTTTCCTGCGGCTCTTTTTACACACACACACACACACACACACACACACACACACACACACACACACACCCATCATGGTGTTTCTTCCTTTGGTTCTTTAAGCAGAGGCTGGGCTGACCTGTAACTATTGAAGTAAAACCCAACATCCCAACCCCCTTTGTTCTTCTGTTTTGGCTTTTATACTTTGTTTCTATATTATGCTCATTCCAGGTAATTTTTATTCCCATTTCAATTTAATTAGCTAATATACGCACCATGCAATAACGCACAATTTGTGAAATCTTGCAACTGAGGCTAATGATAATAGTCTCTGGGAAAGTGGGACCCCAGGAAAGACAGACAGATCCCTCCGCCCAGCCTCACACCTCTCTTGATGTGTGCCCCTCTCTTGAGGTTGCGGGGGTGCTCTGGACAGTCCATGCGGGCAGCACAGACACCCTATTTCTGAGTCTCTGCCTCTGATCAGATGCACTCCACAAAAACAAGTGGGGAAGCCACTGTTCACAAGTATGCACTGCTTGGAAGACAGACCCAATGCTGAAAGTAGTGTTTTCATTTACCATTTGGTGTGAAATACCAGTATGCTGCCTGCTTTGAACATCACCTTTTTCTTTCTTTTTTAAAAATAAATCATTTTATTGGGGTTCTTACAGCTCTTATAACAATCCATACATCAGTTGTATTAAGCGCATTTGTACATAATGTTGCCATCATTATTTTCTAAACATTTTCTTTCTACTTGAGCCCTTGGTATTGGCTCTTTTTTTCCCTCCCTCCCTCCCATACCCTCCCACCCTTGTGGCCCCTTGAAAAATTAGAAGTTATTACTATTTTCATCTCTTACACCGTTTGCTGTCTCCCTTTACCCATGTTTCTGGTCATCCCCCTTGGGGGGAGAGGGGTTATACATCAATCATTGTGTTCAGTTCCCCTTTTCTCCTCCTCCCCCCACTCTCCCCGTACCGTCATTGTATTGCTACTCCCACTTTTATTCCTGAGAGGTTATCTGTCCTGGGTTCCATGTGCTGAGAGCTCCCATTTGTACCAATGTACATGCTCCCTTCTAGCCGGACTTCTAAGGTAGAACTGGGGTCATGATAGTGGGGTGGAGGAAGCTAGAGTTGAATGTTGTGTGTGTCCTTGGTGCTATACTGCACCCTGGCTGACTCGTCTCTTCCTGTGACCCTTCTGTGAGGGGATGTCCCATTGCCTACAGATGGACTTTGTGTCTTCACTCTGACACCCCCCGCCCTCTGCCCCGCCACACACACATCACCTTTTCATTGACCATTTTGAGCCTAGAATCCTCATGCTAACTGTGGAGGCTTCTAACTCAAAAACAAGCTAAAAGAACAGCTTGATAGTAAAGCATGTTTCTAACTCATCTGACTGATGGCAGCCAGCTCCTTACAGACAAGGCTACCCCTGTTAGTAGTGTCCCATACCATGTATTCCCAGTGCCTTTAAAACCCAGTCCTTGTGCTACTTAAAAAGGAGCACTGGTGGTGTAGTGGTTACACTTTGGACTGCTAATCATAAGGTCAGCAGTTCGAAACCACTCTGGGAAAGAAAGATGAGCTCCTTCCTATAAAGAATCATGGTCTTGGAAATCCACAGGGGCAGTTCTGCCCTGTCCTGAGAGGGTTGCTGTGAGTTAGAACCAGATCAATGGCACTGAGTTTGCTCGGAGTGCTGCTTACACCAGCTTCTGGCTCAGTCAGTCCTGCTCGCCCAAGTCTCTGCACCTTGTTCCTTTTGAGAAGTGACTGCACTAGTGAGCTCGCCACAGTAGGGTTCTAGAGATGGCCCTCCTGCCCCATTTTTTCTTGGCGGCATTGTTGTCCTTGTGTTTTTGTGGAGCAATCGTCTGAGTCTTGCTACTCAAAGGAGACTAGCAGTACCTGGGGGCTTGCTAGATGCACCGAGGATCATGCGCGACTCTGGGCGGATCCTTATGGTCCCTACTTCCTGTGCTTGGGAGCGTGGAGCAGGTGAGCGCTTGGGCTGCTCTGTGAGTAACCTTTTATGTCTGCTTGTTGGACTGCAGATCATTAGGAAAGTCGACAAGCAGACTGCCTTACTGGATGCAGATGACCCCGTCTCGCAGCTCCATAAATGCGCATTTTACCTTAAGGACACAGAAAGAATGTACTTGTGCCTTTCTCAAGAGAGAATCATCCAGTTTCAGGTGAGTTTGTAAATTACTGGTGGCATTTTAAAAATATGCAAATGATGACATTAGCTGCTTCTAGAAGTAGGAAACTCTTAAATTTGATGTTATATTATCTTCAAAGTACACGAAAATGTAGTCGAGTATTTATGTCAAGTCTCAGACTACCTGCCGTCCAGTGTCCTCAGACAAGGTGACAGCATCCTCTTTCAGGGGAGAGCTCATTTCTGAAAATACCGTCAGAGAAGCTGTTCAGGAGTTCATATTTGGGACCCCCGAGTGTCCCAAACCAGATTTTGGGGGGTGCAAAGAGTGGCCTCAGATGCCCCAAACCAGATGGGGGGGTGTTCACAGAAACCCCTGAGATTATATGCAAATATATAAGATGTGTGCATCTTGATGGGGGAGGGGAGGAACAGTTCATAATTTCCATCCGATTGACAGGGAGATCTCCCAAAATAATAATACAGTGAACCCTCGCCACTTCGCGCTTCGACTTCCGCGGCTTCACTGTATCGCGGTTTTTGCGTCACAGCGCATGCTCTGTCATTACTGCCACTGATTGGCTCATACTGTACACGCTTCTGTCTGCATCGCAATGTATCAGATGCATTTTTGCTTTTGTACAGTGTACTGTAATTGTTTGCGATTTTTAAGAAATTTTATCTAAGCCCTATGATGGCTCCTAAACGAGCTGCTTCTTCTAAGCCTTCTGACAATAAAAATAAGCGCCAGAGGAAGATGCTCACCATCCAGGAAAGGTAAAACTTTTGGATATGATCAAAGATGGCAAGAAAATCGTGGAGGTTGCACGCCATTTCGACTTGAATGAGTCTTCCGTTCGCTCCATCCGTTGTACTTCATAATATAATAAATAATAAATGATAATTGTAATGTCCAAAATGTTTTACTGCATTTTCCCTTTTTCGTTTAATAAATTGGGTAATACGAGTGTAATGGTGACTAAAGGGTGTTTTTTCATGTCCTCTATGCTCTAACTACGAAAATATTTGATTTACAAATAAGGAATCCTACTTCGCGGAATTTCATTTATCACGGTAGGGTCTAGAACCGATTAACCGCGATAAACGAGGGTTCACTGTAGTGACCTGTTTCAAAGGCTATTTTCAGTGGACATTTTACTGAAGAAAGCTTTCATGAGAACACTTATTACCTGAGCGAATGACTACACAGGACAGTCACTGTTTCATACAAAGCTCTTAAAACATAGGGACTGTGTTCCAGAGAGCTGCATGCCCCCACGTGGGGTAGGGGTGGGGTCTCCATAGTCCAGCACTGGGTTGCACTCGCTCGCCAGCACAGGGCTCACCTTGAGTGAGCACAGGTACCTTCCATTCTCCCAAGAGACCACAGACTGATCTTTTACGAAAGAAACTGCTCCGTCTGGTGTGCCCTGAGCATTGTTGCCGGTGTTGTCACTGTGATGTCTTCGAACAGCGGTGCAGTCAATGCTGCGCTCTGCTGGGTTTCCAGCGGCATGTCTGCCCGGGTTTATGTCGACATTGGCCACGCCCAGGCTTTGGGGGAGCTTCTGGAAGGATTCCCGAATCCCCCTTCCTTCACTATGGCTGTTACTACTTTGCAAAAATGCCTTTACTACTACAGGTGTGTAAAGCTCCTTTTCCACACATTTTCCCTTCCTAAGGCCACTCCTTGCCCAAAAGAACCAAATAAAGAGATGATAAATGATGGCGCCTCGTGGACAATCATCAGCACAGATAAGGCAGAGTACACGTTTTATGAGGGAATGGGCCCTGTCCTTGCCCCAGTCACTCCCGTGCCTGTCGTGGAAAGCCTTCAGGTGAGTGTTGACCCGCACAGCACCTTTTCCCTCCTCTTAGCTCTCGGCAACTCTTCTCTGCTATGCCTCGTCATGTCGTTTGTTTCCCCCCACAATAGTGTGGATTTTGTTCCAAATCCTTGCGATAAGTTGGGGTTTTTATTTTGCACCATTTATTGATGAAACAGGAAAATAGGGATATACTCGGAAGCATGAGAACCCATTTACCATATATACTGGAGGATAAGCCAACCAGAATGTCAATCGAGGCACTTAATTTTACCACAAAAACTGCATTAAGAATGTGCTGAAAAATTCGGCTTGTCCACGAGTATATAAGGGAAATATACTTGGTTTGTAGCCTTGGAATGTTTGGGCATTGCCATTTAAAAGAAGCAGTCTAATTACGATTTGCAAATGCTAGTTGCACCAGAAACCGATTTGTATACTTCCAACAAAAAAATGTTAGCTTCCTAAATGTCTTTCGGATTTTCTGTGCATTGCAGTTGAATGGTGGCGGGGACGTCGCGATGCTTGAACTAACAGGACAGAATTTCACTCCAAATTTACGAGTGTGGTTTGGGGATGTCGAAGCGGAAACTATGTACAGGTACTTGATACAAGCCCGCCCTGAGTGTTTGAGGCAGGTGGGGCATTGGCAGGCTTGCATTGTACACCCATGTTGTAGAGCCTGTGTTTGAAATGTGAGGGGATTGTTCAGGTGCTTGGAAGTCATCTGTTTCTCTCCCCCCACCCCGTAGATGTGGTGAGAGCATGCTGTGCGTTGTCCCAGACATTTCTGCATTCCGAGAAGGTTGGAGATGGGTCCGGCAGCCAGTCCAAGTTCCAGTAACTTTGGTCCGTAATGACGGAATCATTTATTCCACCAGCCTTACTTTTACCTACACCCCCGAACCAGGGCCCCGGCCGCACTGTAGTGCCGCAGGGGCCATCCTTCGAGCCAGCTCAAGCCAAGTGCCCCCCAGTGAGTCCAGCACAAACAGCGAGGGAGCTTACACAAGCGGCAGTACAAATGCGACCAGCGTCACATCGTCCACAGCAACAGTGGTGTCCTAACTACCGTCTTGGCCAGGACTCAAACTGACTAGAGTGCTGCAAAAAGGTGACAGACAACATAAAACAGGAAGGAAAGGAAAGGAAAGACAAAAAAGAGAAAAACGAACATTCTTTTGTGGTTTCTTGGGAAAACTTTCCTGTCAGTCAGGTGATACGATTCTGAAACTCCTGCCACTGCAAAAGCTGACTCGCAATGCTGAAGCCGCCGTCAAACGAAGCAAGCTGCCAAGTGTAAGAACCCTGTTGGAAATCGGTTCTTTCAGCGGTGTTTTTTATCTGTTTGGTCAGTTGTTTTTTGTTTGGTTTTGTTTAAATGGGCAAGAAATAAAAATATGGCCGGACTGAGAGTTAAGCAAACTAACATAGTTTTTATGGACCAAGGACCTTGTATAAGCTTTAGCAAAAGGTACATGTTCACCTTACCTTTTTTATATTACAGTATATATAGTACACCTTTTGTTACCAAATAGATTGTTCCTCTTGGCGCCCACTCTGAGCGTTTGCTCTGAAGTACATTCAGTTCCATGGCTGACCAGGCCTGGTTAATCTAAGTACCACACTTTCCCAGGTTCTTTGCCTTTGGTTTTTGTGTGGCCTGAGGCTGGAACCATTTTTAAGCTGAAGTAACTTTCCATGAGTGGAAGTGGTTTGGATTTCAGCTAGTCAAATCTTGTAAAGGCCTGCATCTTTTTTTTTTTTTTTTCCAGATTATATGAAGTCTGCAAAAGCTTTAAAAAAAATGCCTCTGCCTTGCCTGCAGTGCATGCAGTGTGCGCTAGCTTCGTGTCTGTTCTCGGCCGCTGCTGTTAGTCATTCCAGTGTTTTCCTGTTGCCGTTGTTTCAATGTATTTATAGTGGCCATTCAAGAAGCTCTAGCACTGACATGACATTCAGTGTGGCCATGCTATCGTCAGTGAGGGAATGGCACATTCCCTGTTGGTGTTCGACCCCTTTCTCAGACACAGACATATCTGGGTTCCAGGATTTGTTCAGGTTTCTCTTTCTCTCCTGCTCTTGTACATAACTTGTATTATGTGTGTGTAAGTTAAACATTTTATTTTGAGTTTGAAATCTTCCCCGTGATTTCATTCAGCAGGCTGCCTCCTGGCTTGTTGACAAATGCTGGGAGGAGTGTTTGCTGCCCACAGGTAGATGAGGGGCGGGGGTAGGGAGGGTTTTATTGTATGATGAGGAAAGAAAATCTCAGCAAAAGTTTTTTTATTATCTCTACTTTTTGTTGTTTTTATTTTTTGTAGCCTAGGCCAAAACATCGTCATAATCTTAAAACATGCCTTTCTAGATGATGAGCTAAAATAGCTGGGAGCCAGTACAATACTACAGAATCAGCTGAAGATGATGAAAACATAACTTATCTCTTGTCCTGGCCCCCTGTACTGAGCATCTCCACACCTGTACTCCCCGGGTCCACAAATTCCCGTTTCTTTTCCATCCAGGCCAGATCCGGGCCCTCTAAGGGTGCTGGTCTCTCAGGTCCCCTGCCGTTCTGCATTGCTCCCATTGCTGGACTCTGATGACGCCTTTGGTTCCTTAGACATTGCCGCCGACTCGTTGGGCGTTTAGGACAGGAACCTCCTGTGTCAGGTTGTAGGGCACCGTCTAGGAAATACAATCATCCTCTTTGAGTAAAAACTACCTCTAGACTGCGGTAAGCTTTTACTGTCCCATAGGTACCTGAGGAATGCAACTCCATGTACCTTAAGATTGCAAATCTGTCATGCCCTACAGTGGTTCCTGATGGAGCGCTAGCCTATCTTGATATTGCCATCCATCTCTATGTTGTTGTTAGGTGCCGCGGAGATGGTCTCCCCCCCAGTGACCCTATAACCAGCAGCACAAAACAATGCCCGGTCCTGTCATAGCCTCACAGATAGTGTTATCTGTAAGTCCATGGTTGTAGTCACTGTATCGATCTGTTTAATTGAGAGTTACGCCTCCCTTTCACCAGCCCTCTACCAAGCATGATGTCGTTAACTAGGGACTGGCCTCTCCTGGTAATGTGTCCAGCTATAGACTTAAAAACAAAACCATGATTAGTGCACCTTTGGTTGTTTTTTTTTATGTCAGCTTGGTTTTTGTTTTTTTTATATCAGCTTTGCTATCTCGTTCATTCACTGTTTTGCTCAAACCCTGCCACTGCCATGCAATTTCTACCATCTTTACCTGTTTCTGTAGTTTTCAGGTGAAATTCATCTGTGAAACAAGGAGGTAGTTCATTCAATATTATCGTAGTTTTCTCATCCGGAGCCTTGACAAGTACCCCTCCCCTGCCCTCCTCTCCCCTCCCCTCCCTTCCCCTGATGCTTCAGTCAACCCCTTAGCCTTCTCTTTTCAAATCTACTCTAGTCACTAGCTTCTCTTGAATCTACTAACCCTGCCTCACACCTCAGCGCTATGTCCGGATCAAGGGCAGAACTCGTGGCCTTATCTTTGTTTTCGCGGTGCACTGCTTCTCCAGGCTCGGCGCATGGTGCATTTTGTTCAGAGCGTGGACCTGCTTTCAGTGCTGCTTGACTTTGAAGGGGCCACAAGTTTCCTCCACGTCTTTGGTTTGGTGTTTAGTTAAAAAATTATATTAAATTCACCAATAGCAAGATAGGAGATGCTTTTGAAAGAACAAGCTAGGCCATTCCAGGCTTTGCAGCTCAGAGTAATTTTTGCAAGTTTGTGGCTTTATGAAAGTGAACTTTTATTTCATGTCAGTATCCTGTTTTCCAATGAGATCACTGAAGTATTAGTTTGCGCATCCTTTCCTGGTTTTGTCTGAAAGTCCAAGAATGTGCTTTGGGCATTTGCCCCAACTGTCTTATAAAATGCCATCTACATACTGCAAACAAGAGAGTGAAATGATTTATCTGGTCTAGCTTATTCTTTCTCAGTTTGTTTGTTTGTTTTAGTCAGTCAGCTGCTTTAAAAGAAACAAAACCTGTTCTCTGGATTTGTGGGTTCTTTTCTCCCCTCCCAGTCCTGCCCTGGCTTGAGCGGCTGGCTGTTGGCACATCGGTGACTGTGCCCGTTAACGTGCGGGCGCTGCTTCCTAACCTGTGTCTGAAAGCCTCCTGACTATGCAATGTCTAGACATAGGCGCATGGACGCAGAGCCGGTGACCCAGTGGTCTTCTTTAGCTTTTCCTTGGGCTGCCTCTGCAGATGGAGACGGCAGGTGGAAGTCTCTGGATAGATGGAGGCTGGGTGGAGACAGACCCTTTCTATTTTGTGTGATTTCTAAGTTGAACACTAGCATCGTACCTGCTGCTGACTTTCTTCTTATGCCTTTGCCAACGCACGGTACCCCGCTCCCCCCAATATGCTTATGAACTCAATAGCTCACTTCATAGACTTTTTTTTTTTTTTTTTACAATTGGTGTGTTTTGTTTTCTTCTTAAGTTTTAGGGATCTTTCCCACCCACCCATTTAAACTGGTTTCATCTGAGCCCACCTGGATAATTCCCAATGCCTTATTATTATTGAGAACAAAGAGAAGTAACTATTCTTGTTTAACTAGATAATCAACAGGGCCTTTCTCTTTTCAAATCAGAATGCTATTCCAGGCTGTCTGAAGCAGCGGGGTCTCTGTCGCTCTCTGTGCCAGACTTGTGATTCTGTTTTCAAGCACTGAAACGTGGAGTGGATGGTTAGAAACAATAATATATTAGGGTTTCTAGTTAACACTTTCAGGACTGAACAGTGTCTCCTCTTAATATCTCCCCCCTCCCTCCCTTTCCCCGATGTGATCAATGTTCACCAGCATTCAGTGCTGTGCTGGCCCAGGCATGGGTTTATCTGCTCGTTTTTTGCTTATTTATAATAATAATAAGCTTATTTCTTATAACCTTGCAGCATGCTCTATGCATTCAGTCCTTAAGGGGTTTATTTTGCAGACTGTGCGCCTGTAAGGTTTATTAGCAATAAGATAGAAAATGGAGCAATTTATACCATAATTTTGTAGGAAAAATAAAAATAAAAAAAAGAACATCTGCCCAGCCCCATATTTCATCTATGAGAAACCTGCAATACAGGCAGTTCTGAGGAATAAATAAAAATGAACTGTAAACCGTTGTAAAGTCTTCTGTTGGCTGTGCCTGATGCATGTATTACTTGCCGCCATTGATTTCAGAATACTTCATAAAGATCTAATTAAATTCTGTATGACAGTCTGTGTGTTTCCAGCTTTGCCGTGCCCCAGGCCCCACAGCAGGATGAAAGCTGTCTGAATGCCTTCCTACCTATTGTTAGTACAGAGGTGCTTTGTGTGGGAAGGGGTGTCCTTCCCCTGTACGTGGGGGCGGGAGCTTTGTCATTCAAGGGGCCTGTCTCCCAATTCAGGGTCATTAAAGCCAGTCACAACAAAGTTGGAGAATGCCCTTTAGCCACAGCTTGCTGTGGGTCGACTAGAGAGACAAATCCAAGGACACACGTATATGCATAAGATTTGTATAAAAAAAAATCGCATATTGAGAAAATAGCCCAGTCCAGATCAAGTCCTTAAGTCCAATATTAGCTCATATGTCCAATACTAGTCCATAAATTCCTCTTAAGACTCACGCAACACATGGTGATGATGCCAAATGCAGGAAGATCACAGGCCGGTGGACGAAGAGTCTTGTGAATCCAATGGCAGTGGAAGCATCTCCAGGACTCTGGCTGCCGTCAGCGTGGCTCCATGTGGCTTGTCCACAAGAATGTGTAGCAGAGAGAGTGCGTCTCGCCTACAGGGAGGAAGAGAGGAAGTCCCAGAATCCTCATGAGAAAGCCACGCCCACAAGGAGGCATCAGGCTGTGACCTGATTGACAGGCTAGAGACCACTCCTTCATTCTTAATCTCCTCAAATTGACATGAGATTATGTAACTACCACACAGCTTTGCCAAAAGTGGGCAGTCATTTATTTGGTCTGGTGTACACAAGAGCATATAGTGTATGCTGTATATAAACTCGGATCTCTCACAGCTGCGGAGTCAATTCCAACTCAGAGCAACCCTATAGGACAGGGTACAAATGCTCGTGTGATTTTCCAAAGCTGGAAATCTTTATGGGAGTAGAAAGCCTCATCTTTCTCCCCATGAGCGACTGATGGTTTTAAACTGCTGACCTTGCAATTAGCAGCCCAATGCATAACCCACTATGTCACGAGGGTGGCTTTGTTGTATTTAAGAACCTGTATCATCTAACCCCTTACTGTAAGGGATCATTTCCTGAGGTCTGCCTTCCCAAAGACACATGAAATATATTGTCACCATTTAGAAAAATGGAGAAGGCAAACTATATTTAGTTGCATGGCGATAAAGTGGGGGGAGGGAGGGGCGTATCTTCACAAAAGGAAAGGCAGCGGTCATCTTCGGTGTACGGCTGGTAGGTAGGTGTTCAGTGCGTAGAGCTGCCTTGTTCATGCGTACAAGCTCCACTCCAAATCTCAGTGTTGGGCTACCCAGATGCCAGTGAAAATGAGTCTCCTACAGAACAGGAGGTTTTCACCATAACCAAAAATATGCACACGAAACACAACCAATTTGTAGCATCTGCAGGTGCGTTTACTATTGGGGGATGGGCTGTACTTGCAAATGTGAAATCCTAGCATTTGCTTCTTTGAAGTTTGAGTTGGAAGGAGGCCTGGGGGCACCAGCCCTCGGTTAGTGACTGGAGGATCGCAGCTTGAACCCACTAGCAGGAGAAAGGCCTTCCGGCCTGCTCTTGTCAAGATGACAGCTGGGAAACCTGGGGCAGTTGACTATTATATATGTGGGTCACCCAGATCAGGAGTCCTCTCTACGCACCTCCCATCACCAGCAGGGATGAGCTGTGTGGGTGCATCAAGGCCTTCCTAGCGTGATTGCGTCTGCTTTCATCTCCACATGCCGCTTACTGCCATACGCTAATCAGCCAGCACAGATGACACCCCCCCCAGCCATTCCTGTGCCTTTGCAGATTACCGGTTTCTCTTACAAGGCTGGCTGGGGAGGAGCTGCTGCTGTTAGGTGCCATTGAGTTGGTGCCAACCCATAGCGACCTAAGCACAACAGAACTATGTACTGCCCGGTTCTGTGACATCCTCACAATGGTGCCTATTGCCCGAGCCCATGGTTGCAGCCACTGTGTCGATCCATTTTGTCAAGGACCTCTCTTCCGCTGCCCCTCCACTTTACCAAGCCTGTGTGATAATCCCAAGACGTTCAGATTCCATTGACACCACCATTGTGACAGCCGTGCCCCACCACCACAGCAACCCTATACACAACAGACACAGACACTGCCCAGTCCTGTACCAAATTGTGTTTGAGCCCATTGTTGTAGCCCTAGTATTGAGCCATCTCCTGGAGACTCCTAAAGGACAGGTCAAAATTGCTTTGTAGGGTTTTCTGATAACATAAAACTTCATGGAAGCAGACAGCCTCATCTTTCTCCTGTAGAGCAGCAGGTGGGTTTGAACTGCTAAATCTTCAGGCAAGCAGCCCAGCATTTAATCTGCTGTTCCACCCAGTGTTCCTCTTGTTACCGGAGAGGGTCATATTTACAGTTAATAGCAGTTGAGATAGCGACATATTTTGGGAGGCACAACTCAATCCATCCCATTGTGTGTTAGGGGTGACCAGAGAAACAAATCCAGAGACAGCCATGTATGTAGTAAGAGAGCTTTATGTCAAAGAGTAATTGTATATCAAGAAAACAGCCCAGCCCAGATCAAGCCCAGAAGTCTGATAATAGCCCCTAAGTCCAATACTAGTCCATAAATCTCTCTTCAGAGTCACTTAGCCACATGCACTGATGCAGGATACAGGAAGATCACAGGCCGGTGGGTGAAAAGTCTTGTGGATCCAAAGGCTGTCTCTGCAGGTCTCCACCTGGTGGTTCGCCCAGGTCTGTACCACATGGCTTACTCAGGTCTCAATGTGGCTCCACATGGCTTGTCAATAGGAAGGTGAAGCAGAGAGAGTATAGCCTGCCTCCAGGGAAAAGCAGAGAGAACGTTCCCAGAATCCTCATGAGAAGGCATGCCCACAAGGAGGCATTATCACGATGTGACCTGATTGACAGACTAGACTCCACCCCTGCACATATTTATTAAGTTGACATGCAATTATATAACTACCACACATTGTTAGATAAAAGTACAGTCAGACTGCCTTTTAGAAACATGGCTAGACTTTGTCTCATGGACTTCGGATATGTTATCGGGAGGGACCAGTCCCTGCAAATGGACATCATGCTTGGTAGAGGGGCAACAACAAAAAAGACGCCTCTCAGGGAGGTGGGTTGACAGTGGCTGCAACAGTGGGCTCAAAGAACAGTGATTGGGAGGATAGCGCAGGGCAGGACAGTTTCCTGTTGCTCTCAGGGTGGGGGTGTTGGGAGGTGCCATCACGGTTCCAACCCGTAGCCAGTCTATCTCACAGAACGGAACCCTGGCCCTCCATAATTGTCCCCTATGCCTGAGCCCGTGCTTGCAGCACTGTGACAGCAGGGTTGTCCAGGGTCTAGCTCTCTTTCTCCACCCTCCACTTTACCAAGCACGCTGCCCTCTAGGGACTGGTTTCTCCTTACAGCATGCCCAAAGTCTCACCATCCTTGCTTCTTCGGAGCATTCCTGCTGTGCTTCTTCCAAGATGGATGTATGCGTTCTTTTGACAGGCCGTGGTATAACACCATAATTGAAAAGGCATCAGTTACAGTTCAGCCTGTATTCACTGCCCAGCTTTCACTTGCATACGAGGCAATTGAAGATAGCATGCATGGGTCAGGTGCAGCTTAGTCCTCAAAGAACACAAGGTGTAGGTATGAAGCTGAATCGAAACTGACTGCCTAACAACATTTTGCTAGCAAAATGCAGGCAACTTTATTTGAAATGTTGCTCGGACGGACCTTTAGCTCATTTAGAGGAAACATCATATTTAAACACTTCCCTTGACTTCTGGGCAACATTTCTCTAGAAGGTATGATGAGCTGTCTCTATATTAAACAAACCAAACTCACTGCCATCGAGTTGATGCTGACCCAGGACAGAGTAGAACTGCCCCCATGAGTTTCTGAGACTAATTCTTTACAGGAGTTATAAATCTTAGTGGTTTCAAACTGCTGACCTAGTGGATCACAGCCTAACCTTTAACCACTGCTCCACCTTGAATGACTGACCTGAAACAACATAAACCTAATTTTACCCGATTTCAGGAGTCAGTGTTTCTAACCCTGTTTGTGGTTAGCTGGTCTTGAGTTGGCCCAGCCTCATGGCGACCCCTCGTGTGCAGCTGAATGAAATACTGCAGCCCTGCACTATCCCTAGATGGGTGGGAATCCTGTGCGCCATAGGGTTTCCATTGGCTGATTTGTGGAAGTGGATCGCCAGCCTTTTCTTCCTAACCACGTGGATGGTGGCTGCACGCAAGATGTGTTGGCCACGATTCAAACCCAGGCCTCCTGCATCAGGGGTGAGAAACTGATCACTGGACAGTAGTGCCCCCTTCAGCCCCTGCACAGGGTTGTGTTTCATTTACAGAGAGGAAAGCACACGCAAGTGGGGTCAGAGCCTCCCCAAAGGGTCTCGGGGTGCTGGCCCTCAGCAGGGCTGCCAGGCAGGAGCAGCTGCGCTGACGGAAGCCTCTCTGTTCTGCTTTGCGTCAGTGAAGGACACCAAACACAGGGCAGGGGTGTCCATTTTCTTGTGCAGCCATCCCCACGACTTGTTCCCAAGTTCTTCCATTACCCTGAGCAAGCTCAGCTATGAGACTCGGGGGTCCCCCAGCCAGTGACTCCCCACCTTCCTGAACTCACTGCTATTGATTGAATCTGTTCCTGCTCTTTGTGACCCGTTTGGACACTATAACTGGCCCCTAGGGTTTCTGAGGCTGTAAATCTTGACGAGCAGACAGCCTCACATCAGCCAAGCCGGGTGTGAACCACTGACCTGGTGGTTAGCAAGCCCCACCCTTAACCCACTGTGCCACCAAGAGCCCTTCTCTCTCATGGGCCCTCCTGGTGAACCTTGCCAGAACATCAAGGGTGTAGAATGCAGTGGGCTGAGGAACAGGAGGGGGAAGTAGTAGCCAGTTCAAGAACCCCCACTGGGCA